TGTCCCTATTATATAGGTGAATTAGCTGCTCCTGTAAACCGCTTTTTTACATACTACCTTAGCAGAGATGATGTACGGAAGCGAGGGATGTAAACAGTGTTGAGATGCGACAGAAAAAGAGTTTGAAAGTAATTTACTTAACTTTCACTTAGTTGAACTCTATAACAATCTTCGGTAAGGAAGGATGTATTGCTAGCCTTGTGGCAACCGACTGGTGTATATGGAAAGCAGAATGCTTTTGCGAATAAAAATGCCAAATTCGTAACAGGAAGGACAAACGAAATTAGCGTGGTACAACTTCTTGCGAATGGGCACACGTAAACAGGATCCGATTTTTGTCATGAGGAATTTCGGAAGTTTCGAGTTATCTGACAGCCCTGCCAGCACCAGCCCCGCCTAGCCCCGCCTGGCCCCCTCAATAATGGCGGGGCTAGAGGGGGCTATGAGGGGGCTAGGCGGGGCTGTGGAGGGGGCTGTGGCGGGGCATGCAACGCGATAGCCCCGCCTAGCCCCGCCTAGCCCCGCCAGCGAAAAAAAATGCGCAGGGGACGCCACATCCCAGCCCACTTTTGGCACCACTTTAAAATATCGTCCCGATTGTCAAATATACGAATTAATAACACACAGAGATTGTAAACCGGTGGACAAATAAGAGTTTACGCAATGCGGGACTTAAACGAAACCTCAATATATTGTGCTCATCCGCAGCTACATTCAGTGGGCGTAAACGGATGCTTTCTCCATGATTTATAAGCCAATTTTGATAAATTAGCTCCTTTTAATTCCAAAGAAGGTACAATAAGTGGTGCTTTTGAAACATATCTTTCGATGCAAATAAGCTTAAAAATGCTTCAATGCAGAGGGGGCTCTGGCCCCACCCAGCCCCTTCCAGCCCCGCCTATGAAGGGGCAATGTGCTGGCAGGGAGTTAGTTAGTCGGTGTATATGAGGGAAATAGGCTATCATCTATGAAGGGCCTTCTTGTGCATTAAAAATTCGATGAAATAAGAAAAAATGGATTCACATAGGTCACCAGTCTCATGTCTAAAACGTCTCATAGTCCGCTTGTTGCTGCAGTATATGTCTGTCAAACCGGCATTTAAATTTCTCCACAGATTGAGGCATGACAATCGTCTCGTGCAGGTTATTCCACGGTCCCACGACACAGTTGGAGAAGAAATGCGTTTAAACATCCAATCTACCCTGACGCACACGTAGACTGAAGGGACGTCCTCGGAAGTTAGTTGTTGTGGCGAGTTGGGAAAAGTCGTCGCATCGAAGTACGCAGTCCAAGCCACGCACTATCCGGAAAGTTTCATCAAGTCTCTGCTCAACTGCCTATAATTCAGAGAGTAGATATTGAGGTTAGTTAGGCAGATCTCATATGGAAGTGCATCTTGACCTCTCATTAATTTTGTTGCTCGCCTCTGCACTCTTTGGAATCCGGCTGTGTCCACGGTCTCTAGGCCTGAATTGCTTATTCAAGATGCCGCCTTACAAAAGTGTCGAAGACTTTGGAGGAGCAGTTTTCATCGAAAAATGCGAATGCCCGCTTGATGGCATAAATCATTGAAGTTACGATCTAAGCCGCCTTACAATATTGTGTAGAAGGCTTTAGGATGTCTGCAAACCAGACTCCGAGATCTTTCTGCGTTTCCGCTTCTTTAAGTGGCATTCCGTTCAGATGGTATTGCTGCGTACTTGTGGTCTGATTTCCGAGGCGCAGAATGGTGCATTTGTTTAAATTGAAGGACAAGAGCCATCTGCGGGACCACTCGTCCAATCGACAAAGATTTTCTTGGAAGTTGGTCTCATCGGCAGCATTCTGGATGACTTTTCCGGTTTTTATGTCATCTGCAAACATGGCAATATCACAGTCCAACGCACAATCACACAGTCCAACACAATCATTGATGAACATGAGAAAGAGGGTTGGTCCGAGCATCGAGCCTTGTAGGACTCCACTCTCTATGCATGTGCGCCATGGTTGCTGTTGTTCTACGCAGACAATTTGGGAACGCCCGACAGGGATATTCTCGATCAATTTGAGAAGTTCGCCGCCAATGCCCATTATTCTCAACTTGTGCACTGCACGTTGGTGCGGAACACTGTCGAACGCTTTCCGGAAATCAATATAGGCCACATGCACAGTGTGGTTTGCGTCCAGTGCTCTTTTCCAACTTTGAACTTTATATAGCAAGCTTGTAAGCATGATCTTCCCCTACGGAAATCACATTGTGCGTTGGACAAGAGATTGTGGGTTTCGAGATAAGCCATCAACTCCTTTTTTGGTTTTCTCAAGTACTTTGCAGCAGATTGCCGTCAGACTGACAGGTCTGTAGTTTGTCGCAAGAGCCCGACTACCGTTTTTGTAAAGGGGTGTAATGTGGGCCGTCTTCCAGTCTGTGGGTAGGATTCTAGCATCAAACGTTTCCAGGCACAGAAAAGATAGTGGTTTGGCCGGCTGTCGGACAAGCTAGAAAAGCAGCCTTGCTGGGATCTCATCCGGACCTGGAGATTTACATTCGTTCAAGCTTTTTAGTTCTTAAAAATCGTTTCTTCTCGAAACACGACATCTTCGATAGTGTGATCTCCCATGTTCTCGGAACTCGTTGAAATAAAGTCTGTTTTTCTTGTGAAACCAGATTGGAAAAACTGAAAAAAATGCTCAGTCTTATTCGTACTGACAAATATCTCCCAACCGTCATCATTACTCATGACAGGAGTGGGATCCTATTACGGGTGCTATTCCGCAAACAGCTATAGAACAATTGCGGATTTTTAACGGCTCGATGGAGCAAATTACTCTCGAAATCCCGTCGCCTCCAGAAAGTTCGAATTTTCACCTTATTTGTTTGAACTTAATGCTCTGTAAATGCTGCATTAATGATGTTTCCGCAAAATTGCTTCCACAACCCTCCTTTTTGTTGATCTCCTTGTTGACGTCTCGTCTTAGACCCTGAGGTCGGTTGGATGCCCTAGGCTTTGATAAGAGACAATGGCTATTCATTAGATGCAGCAACCGATCCTTGTATAAATTCCGATCCTCATTAACGTTTCCGGAGAAGAGAACATCCTAGTCTATTTTTCAAGCCTCAGCTCTCATTTGGCATAAGTTCTCTTTCCATATATCTGGCCTCGTATCGTCTTTTGTATACGGTTCAGAATACAGCTCGTACTCCCATGAAAGTACTGCGTGATCACTTCGACCGAGCGGAGGTAGGTAATACACCTTGTCTATACTGTCAGGATCTTTGGTGAAGACGAATTCCGGACAAGTGGCCTGTTGTGCACCGCGCGCTCTAGTTTGAAACAGGACACGGTGCGTGGGAAGAGCTTCTAGAGTTGTCTTCAGTAGACGGTAGTCGAAGGCATTCTTCGAGCACTCCGCATGCATATTGCTCCAATGGATGCAGGGCGCATTCAAATCCCCCATGAGAGCAACGTCTGGTCGACTGGCGAAGTCAAAAAAGGCTGAGCATTTTTCTCAGTGCCTGCAGTGTGTTTTCGCAAGAGAAGCAGTTTTTATTCCATCTAAATACGAAGGCATGCAAGACTTAGTAACATAAAATATTCCGTTTCAAGAAGTAGCGATTTTCGAGGGACTAGCAAACGTGAAGAAATGTCATGCCCCCTGCTGGATAAGATTCCAGCAAAGCCGGTTGCTGAACTTGCCTGATACCTGGTCACATATCTATTTCTTCCCACAGAGTGAAAAACAGCCCACATTTCACCGCCACATGAAAGCGGTCGTTCTGCAATTACGACCAAATACAGACCCATCAGTCTGACATCAGTCTACTGCAAAGTCATGTAGGAGACCATAAAAGGGAACTGAGAGCTTATTTGGAAAGCCCTAACCCCTTGTTATAATCACAATGCGGTGTCCATAGGGGAAGCCCATGTGCAACGAAATAGCTACATACACTGCAGAGCTGGACAAGGGCAGTGGATTAAAAACGCACTATGCATGATGTTCACATTACTTTCCTGGAAGCGCTCGACAGTGTTCAGCACCAGCGTATTCTTATCAAATTGAGAGTTATGAGCATCAAAGACAAACTTCTTAAATTAGTCGAGAATTTCTTCGTCGGTCAAGCCCAAGTTGTCAATGAAGAGTAAAGATTCAGGTGTGTCCAGTTGTGGGTCCACGTGATGGTCGTAGTAGGTTGCTCACTTGCTTGGAGGTGTTGACCACTCAGCAACCTACTGATCCAAAGGCTGAGAGGCCGCCCCCTTACTTATCTGTGGACTCTATTTTCCACTCTTTTCCGTTGCCACTCGCTCCCTCTACCCTCCAACCCCCTCTGCTCTGTCCCACGGTGGGCAGTCAAACGGGTCACCATATTGCCACCTCCAATGTAAAACTTCGTTCACAATCCCTCTGTTTGACCTTGTTGCAAGCTAAATACCGTTCTGGTGAATATCATTCTGTTAAATTTTTTTATTTTCAACATATATATTTCAGCAACTAACCTGCTAAAAGAGGGACGAGAAAGCTCTGCTTTCCCTCTCTCTACTCTTCCTATATCTCTGCTCCCCCTTTGAATCCTACGAAGAGAGGGGTAGCGATCCTGTAGGCAGCCTACACTAACTCGGGACGTTCTTCCATTAAACAAAAGTCATGACTCACAGCGGAGTTTGGCAATCGTCTGGGACAACTGAGCACCCCTTCTTAGGAAGAGCACTACACACCCCCGATGGAAAAGGGACTAGAAAAGGTGTCCTAAACAAATGCTGTGGATCCATGCCATCGGCAGGTTGACCGTGACCGCAGACGCAAAACGCATGCTCGGAACATTCAAACCAAAAACAACAATCTCTCTCTTCCCCCTCCTACCCTCCGCCCCACTCGCCAGACTGATGGGCTGATTTCGCTCACTCCGGCAGCCTAACATGTTCGTTCCCTTCTAGATAATCCGAGGAGCAACTGACCGAAACGGATAATGACGCTATCGGCTGGGGAACTGGCGCGCTACAAGGTGGACATCGTTGCACTCAATGAGACTCGGTTCTCCAAACAAGGCCAACTGGAGGAGGTTGGTGCCTATTACACCTTCTTCTGGAGCGGGCGCTCCAAGGCAGAGTGACGCCTTCACAATCCGAAACGACCTCGTGGGACGACTGCCCTATTCGCCTGCCTCTCCCGGGAGACGAATTCGCCACCATCACCAGTGTCTACGTTCTCCGATGACCAGCTCTGATGCCGCAAGGGCCAAATTCTTCGAGCATCTGCACGCCCTCCTGGCGGCTGTGCTGAACGCGGACAAGTTATTTCTTTGGTGACTTCGAAGCCCACGTCGGCACAGACCATGCTGCCTGACGAGGGATGCTGGGTCCCCATGGTGTTCATGGCTCTAGTGACAACGGCCTACTCATTCGAACCTTTGCAGAACACCGCCTCATCCTGACCAACACCTTGCCCCTGCCGGTTCGAGAGAAGATCATTTGGATGCATCCTTGGTCAGGGCGTTGACACATGCTAGACTATGTCCTCATCTGGAGGCGAGACCATCGGGACATGCTGGTGAAAAAGACGATCCGGATGCCGACGGGTTAACTGACGATCGTCTCGTCATCCCCAAGATGCGGATTCGCTCACAACCTCGCAAGAGACCACAAGGTAAGTGGCCCCTTGGTAGGTAGAATATTGCTTCGTTATCTTTGCCTGCTAACTACGGTCACACAGCCTTCCAGTCCCCGCCGCTAATGAAAATGCCTCCGTGGGGAAGCAGTGGTGTCAACTGCGGGACACCGTCCAGTCAACGACCCCGTCTGTTCTCGGTCACGTATGTTACCCAAACCAGGACTGGTTTGATGACAATGACGCCGCCATCATCAAGCTGTTCGCCAAGAAAAACAGTCTGCACAAAGCTTACGTTATCCGCTCGACCGACGTGAACAAAGCAGTCTTCTGCCGTAGTCGATGCCTTGTGCAACAGCGGGTGTGTGAGATGCAGGACGCTTGGACGGCTCGCAAGGCCGAGGAGATCCAAAAATGGAAGAACTTCTTCCTCGCGATCAAAGCTGTTTACGGTCCCACAGCCAAAGGCACCGCTTCTGTTCCCTGTGTTAACGAAACAACTCTAATCGCTGAGGAGACACAAATTCTGCGGTAATGAGCCGAACACTTCAGAGGTGTCCTCAACCGTAACTCTACCATCTCTGGCATCGCTATCGCCCGTCTGCCTCAAGTGGAGATTAACACCGAACTCGAACACCGCCCTTTCACTATGAAAACATAAGGGCCATGCGGCAGTTTGCTAGCGGAGAAGTACCCGGATCGGACGCAATACCTGCTGAAATCTACCAGCACGGCAGCTCCGAACTTATGAAGCAACTGGCGGCGCAATTCCAGGAGACGTGACGTCAAGGATGATTCCCGCAAGATTTAAAGGACGCCACAGTCGTGCATCTCCATAAGCGTAAAGGTCATCGCCAGCTCCGCAATAACCACCGAGGCATCCCCTTGCTGAACCTCACCGGGAAAATATTCGCTCGCAAACTCCTCAACCGCCTGAACCACTGTCTAGAACAGGGTCTCCTGCTGAATAGCCAATGCGACTTCCGCCGTCATCGTGGGATCACGGACATGACCTTCGCCGTCCGCCAACTGCAGGGGAAGTATCGGTAGATGTAGACTCACCTGCACTCCAACTTCGTGGATCTGTCGAAAGCCTTCGACACGGCGAATCGCAAAGGACTGTGTAAAGTCGTAAGGAAATTCGGCTATCCCGAGTTATTCACTCAGATGGCGCACCAACTCTACTATGGCATGATGGCGCGAGTCACGGACAATGTAGCTGTCTCAGAGGCATTCGCAGTGACCAACAGGTGAAGCAGGGCTGCGTCCTCGCGCATACCCTCTTCAGTCTTATGTTCGCTAGCATGCTAATTGACGCCTGTCGTGACGAATGCCCTGGCATCCACATCGTTTACAGGACAAAGAGTCAGTCCCTTAACCACCGCGGATGCACTTCCAGACACGTATATCCACAATCTCCGTCCGTCAACTTCTCTTCGTCGACGACTGCGGGCTCAATGCCACCTCCGAAGTAAACAATCAGAAGAGCGTGGACCTCTATGTCGCCACCTGCGACAACTTTGACCTGGCCACCAATACGGAGAAAATGGTAGTCATGCATTAACCGCCGCACGACGCTGCCCATAACGCACTACAAATCAACGTGAACGGCGCCCAACAGCAGGTGGTGGACAACTTCACCTACCCGAGCAGCACCGTCTCTCGCACCAAGCATCTATCGCACCCTCTCCACCTCCCCCCACCTGGACGCGGTGTCAAGACGGAGCCAAGAAGACCTCAGGTAGGGTAAGGCGCAGGTGGATGGCACGGTCAAGCCCGCATCTTTGACGCTTCACTCCGCAACCCCCGTTTCACTCAACAAATAACCCGAACTAACAACAAAAGAGAAGCACCTAGGCAAGCCGTCACATCTACACACCGTTATAATTTCAAGTGCGTCTGGTTGTTTATGGTGAGAAATATGCACTGAGTCGCTGACCTCATTGTCCGTTCCCATCCCCAGACCCCAGTCAGTCAGAGCTGGTCAGTCGACAGGTGCGAGAAATGGGAGCGCCACATGCTCGACTTGGCCCTCCAAACAACGTACCAAGATTTCTCACAACGGGATTTGGGCGGCGTACATCTCATTTGCGTGGGAGTGCCATATTTCACGTTGAGAAGGAGTCCTTTCAGTCTGGCCCTCAGTCCGCCAGTCTGCCATTCCACACGTACACGCACACAACTGGGCGGACTGCGTGTGCTGCGTTGGGGCGTCAGTCATCGGCCTTTCAAGCCACGGCGATTGATGCGTCGTGGTAGTCTCGGACTCGGATGGCACATGTAGCTGAGGGGGCCTCACGGAGACGGAGCCAGACGTACATTCCCCACGCAAGTGGGAGGCGGCAGTCGGCCGCTGGTGATGGATGATGATGTTGTGCAATGCAGGTGTTTGTGGGGGAAGATGGGATGGTGTGAGTTAGCCGGCGTTTGTCAACTGCAGGTTTTCATGAATGCGCATGTGGCCTAATAAGCCCATGTGGTGGGTGAATGTGCGGATGCAGTGAGGACAGTTAAGGCGGATGTGACGAGTGACCAAGGGTATTCCTGACACTGGTTCGCCAGTCTCCGTGAGATGGATTCGCAAATGACCGGCCAGGTCGATGTGCTGGTTGAATGTATGGGAACAATGTTGACGGGCAAAGTCGGTGTTATCAGTGTCGGTTTCTGTGATGCGCTGCGCTGCGCTGGGCCGACCCCTCCAGAAGGTGTACCCAGCACCAACCTCCTCCAGTTTTTTTCTTTTTCTGCGAACCGGGTCTCACTGAGTGCGGCGATATTCCCAGCATTTGTACTGCCCTCTCTAAGAAAAGCTACTTAGTTGTCCCCGATGGTCGCCGAACTCCACTGTGGGTCACGACTTTGGTTAGTGGGGGGGACGACGCGATTTAGCCTGGGCCTGCCTACAACATCGCCGTCGGGTTTGCAGGGTAGGAAGGGGGGTTGAAAATGGTAGAAAGACGGGAAACAGAGCGTTCCAGTCCCTCTCTAAACGAACTTGTGGCTGAAATATACAGTACCTGTGCTAACTCATGAAATGCCGAGGTCAAAATTATAGTGGACAATGTAGTGTATTTTTGGTGTCGTTATTTGTGTTTATTTGGTTGAAATAAGGACGAAAAGACCGTTTTCTGAAGGAAAGTTTGATACGGATCTGTATATTAAATAGAAAACGGGCCGGATTAAGGCGAAATTGGAGGATTCCTGATATTCAAGCAGTTTCCTACGCTATTAAACCTTTCGGATTGAAATTCCGCTATCAGACTTTGGGAGCCGTAGTGTTTGCCGATTTTGCGTTAAAGGCGTTAACCTGTGTTAATTCGTGACATTTCATGAGTTAGCACAGGTACTGTAAGTGGTGAGCAAGGAGATTCAAAAGAGCGGCATTTAGCGTACAGCAAATACAAACAGGAACATGCAGACGAAGGGCAAGCAAGCAAGAACATGCAAAAAAAACAAAGGCAACATAGAAAATGCAACAGAACGGTATTTAGTTTTAAACAAGGACAAATACAAACATACAAACAAATAGCAATCCAGTAGAGCAATGTTTGCTTACCTGGGGGCTCACTTACCTTTTGGCATCCTGCGGTGTTACAGATGCCGAGGCGACGGCCCATCCGGCCAGTGGAGCCTAGTTAGCGTGTGCGGAGATGTACAGGCGGATACCCTCACCTGGTTTAGCCCGCCGGTCAAGGCGGTTACCGGGGTGTGGCCGCTAGGCAGGGCCTAGCTTCGGGGGGGCATATGTGAGAGTTGGGTGCCAGCTAATGGCGCTAGGCGTAGTCAAAACCTGCAAGCAAATGAGCGACCTACTACGACCGTTACGTAGACCCACAACTGGACACCCCTACACCCTAATGCCAATATAACCCTAGTGGATGGATACACGGGCAGACCCAGAACCGGGCCTGCGTCAAGGGGTCCGATTATCACCGAGCTCCAGTACCGGAAACATGCCTCCGATCGGTATCATTCCTATTTGCATCCAATACGTAGTGCGGAGTAGGCCTTAACAGTCATCGAAATTGGTTTCGTGAAAGTGTTCCACGAAGCAGATGAAGGACGATTCATACGTTAATTCACATGCCATTGCTTTCAGTCGCTTTTTTAACGGAATCATAGAAACACTTTGAGGAACAGGCTGTCGCAGCGTCCTCTAATGGAAGACATGCACGAGAGAGTCCGCTCTATGCCGGTTGAAGGATCGACCCCTCCAGAAATAATATGCAAATGTAAAATACAGCATCGGGGAATGCGTACCAGAACGTTGGAGAAGAGTGTCCGTGATTTTCCTCACCACCAATGTCCGGCACGTAGAGTAAAGCAGTTTATCTTAAGGTCTATTGGCGCAGACCGAAATTTGATGTTTGAATATTAGCTAGTACCTGTGCTGCTGGTATGGTATCTTGTAACGCTGAAAGCATACTACTAACTGCCTGTCGGCAGTTAATGAATATTAAACGGTTATCACGCCGTGGCTGATGGATCTCAGCCCAAATACCCTTACATCAAATTTGGGTCTGCGTCTATAGGCCTTGGTATAAACTGATTTACTTCAAGTCTGCAGTTAATATCTAAGGAACTTAAAAAGTGACAATTTCTTAACTGGATTATCTACTAGAACGCGCATGGGGATGCTGTATGACCCATTGTACGACCCCCCGCAGCTGTGCCATGCAGCGGCAGAAGGTTTCCGGCACAAGGTGATTCTGTTCGCTGCGGAAATTACGGATTCCCTGTTGGCACCTCGGCCATGGAGCGCAGTCCCGCTTGTGCCCCTTCTCGAGAAGGAAAATCAACGATTCAACTATGTATTTCTTCGAAGGTTCGCAATACCTCAACTTCACAACCGAAGTCCGCGTATGCCTGACCCTGGCTTTCGTCAGTCTGTCTGAAACGTCTGAACTCTGAGTTCTGCGCGTGGAGGAAGAGCCAAAACTGAAGATGGTCGACTACTGATGTCACGAAAAGGTCCCTTGAGTGAATTTTGCGGACTTCATTTTCCGTGAAACAGTCTGCACTCGGTGCGACGACATCGCATGCCAACATCGAAGGCATTTAAAAAGGGCGGTTGACGGGACTTCTCGTGGTCACCGGAGCGGCCGACTACTCGTGCCGACTTGAGTTCGCCTTACCCGTCCTGTTAACCAACGGCTTGAGCAGGCGTGAGACTTTGCACTAGCGTGGCGAGCAGTCAAGACCAATTATCGTTCCATCCCTCGCTAATTGGCCGCGGCTGCATGAATCTAATCTCACTCAAGCGTTTTGCGCCGGGATTACAAATTTAGCGGCTCTCAATTGACTGCGTGTACACCCTCGCCACAGTAAAGCTTCTCCCTCTAATTCTTTTTCTTGTCCTTGGATTCAGGAAATCTCTAATTGTCGACCATCGTACCTCCATAGTACAGCCTAACGTATAACCAAGAAGTAAAGTTCGGTTTAGGACTTGACACGACACAGCCCGCCAACATGTGAAACAATTTTTGACTCAAAAGTATTGGTTCCCGCTATTCACTAGATGCACCATCGCAGATC